TGATACATATATACAGAATGAATCATAACATAAAATTTAATATAAAATTGGAGATTGAAATAATTTAGAAATTGTTAACTATATTGAAAATTTCGAACAAAAGTTGAATAATTATGAGAAAAATATAATTCAATATAATTTGTTTTTGTAAATAAACAAAATAAAATATAAAAGTTTTACAAATTTGTTTTTTTAAAAAGAATTATATATTTTTTCACTAATTAATCGATTTAATTTTAATTTTATTTTTTATGAAAAATTATTAAGCTATTTATATCGAAAAATCTTTAATTCGAGATATATTTTAATTTTAATTAAAATATATTTTAATTAATCTCTTGAATAACTCTTATAAGTCTTACAAATTTTAAATTATTATCTTTAAAATAATTTTTTAATATAAATTATAGTTTTTTTTTTAGAAAATGATGAATGGAATTAATTGATTTATTAAAAAATATGTAATTCCAGAAAAACAAATTTAATTTTAGAAAAACAAACTTAATTATATGTTCTCTAAATGATCAAAAAAATATATTATATCAAATTATATATCTCTCAAAACTATACAACTTTTGTATAAAATTGATTAAATAGTTTCTTCCTATTTTATATATCTATTATTATATCTCAGATAGAAGATATTCAATATAATAAGATAGAATATTCAATAAACAATCATTTCGATCAATTTATATTTGAATATATTTTATATTTTGAATATAAGATATTAATAAGATTTAAATTTTGAATGTTCTAAAAATCTCTGTTTTTTAAATCTTATGAATGTTCTTTAAACTTAAATTTCGGATAATCTAAAAACATTCAATTCAAATATATATTTCTATTTTATATATTTTTATTTTTTATACATTTCTATAAATATTCTCAAAAAATTTATTATTAAATTTCAAAAAATATATTTTTCATCAATTTTACAAATAATGAAATATAACAAATGTTCAAATGAATTAAATTTTAAAGATTTAAAAATATTCTATATCTTTCTCGTCAATTGATGTATCTTTTTTGTAGATATTTGAAAAAACTAACAAAAATTTCTAAATATATATAGAATTTCTAATTTTAAAAAATATAATAAATTGTTTATCGTAAATATCTATGTATATTGAAAGATTTGATTTTGCAATTTTATAAAATATTATTATTTTTTTTCTATGTTAACATTTCAATTCGAACAGGAACGAAATATAATATGATATCTAATGAAAATATATGAATTCGAAATCTGAATGTCACGAGAATCATATTTGAATACATTCATCATAAATGAACACGATAAGTATCCGTAAATTGCGAATTATCATGTGAAAAGTATTAATGAATATCTTTATAAACCATTAAAAAAGTAAGCGGATAAAAAAATGGAATGAAATTATTTAAAACGGTTCTTGATATGAAAAGAGATGATTTTTATATAATTCCTTTTATTTGTTACAAAGAAAATATCAATCGATATTCAATTGTCATTCACTTATTGTTTTTGTGTGTGATTGATGAAGAAAAAAAAGTGAAAAAAAAAAATTAATATTCTATTTGAACAAAGTATGTATTTTAAATGACAATGAAATTTTTACTACTATTTCAAATAAATTTTCATTTTATGTTTTGTTTTCGTTTATCTTAAAAGAGCTAACAAAAAAAAATTATAGAAATATTATACTATATGTGCTAAAAAATATTTATGATTATGACATTATTTATGACACTAAATTTTAATTCTATCAATCAAATTTTGATTTAATTATAAATATTTTCTTCTGTTTTTTATAAAATGAAAAAATATTAATCTATATACTCAGTGTATTTCAATTATTATTATTGTTTTTCAATTATATTTCAAATTATTAAATACTAAATAAGATTCTTTTTGATATAATAAATATTAAACAATATTATATTATAATTCACAATATTATATTTTTCCACAAAAACTTCAAAAAATATTTTTCTTAATAATTATTAATAAGATTTGATATTGAAAAAAAAAATTTTCATAATCTTTAAAAAAAATTTAATCCTGGAAGGATTAACAATACAAAATTTTTCTTAATGAAAATAAAAAATAATTAGAAAAATTATTTTTCTCCAAAATACATTCTGCACAGTAAATGTTTGATTATTATAAGATCAGTTTATATAGCTGCAATGATTCATCATTAAGGAATGATTTGTCATTGAATCAAGGGATTGCTTGACACATTGAAAACCTACAATATTGTGATATTAATGCTTACAATATTTACTATTTTTAACAGGAAAGACAATACTAATAAAAAATAATAACAAAAATTTTCTATTTTTTATTTTTAAATCAAACTTTTTATCAATATTATATTTATGTATATATTTTGTAAGATATATTATTATATTTATATCTAATTATATTATTATATTTTTTTTAAAATAATATAAATTATATTTAGATGAAAAAAATACAAGTACAATTCAAATTATATCATGTTTTATATTTAAAAAATATAATATAATTTGGTATTATTTTTTTATGTTGATTTCTTATTTTTATCAAAAAAAATCTCATAATTAGATTAATAAAAAGACATAAAGAAAAAGTTCATTAAAAATATATAAAGAATTTGAAAAATTTATTTTAATCATCTTATCCTTCTTTATTCTCTTATTTCACTCTTCTCTTTCCTTATTCTCTTTTATTCTTCTTTATTCCGAACTCTCTAAATTGACTCATATCGGCATTGACAATAAGAATTTTTCCAATTATTCAATCTTAAAAACACTATATCGTAATTGATATAATGCATTAACGATAAGATTAATAACTTGAAAGAGAATAAAACGTTTACGCCCATACTTTTAATAAGCAATGTAGTGTGTCGAAACTACATTTAATATACGCAATTTAAGAAAAATTTATATTTTATAAAAATAGTGCTACAAAAATAAAAATGCCTTATGGTGAGTAATTATCTAATATATTTTATACAATATATTAGTTTGTGTAATGTATTAAACAGTATTTTGTGTATCTGATGAGGAACAAAATAATAATTATATATATAATTTGTTATATAGGAAATAATGAAAAATAAATAAAAATAATAAATATAAAGTAATAATATAACAATAATAAAATAATAATAATGAAAGTAAAAGATATTAATAAAAATAATAAAATAATAAAAAATTCAAAATAAAATATTTTACGATAAATTAAAGAAATAAAAAGACTTATATTCAAAAATCGTACAAAATTATGGAATAGAATTGCTGATTGTTTTCTTAAATTTCATATTCTCAATAAAAAAGAAAAATATTTGATATATTATGTATACAATAGACAGAATTTCTATAAAAACACTATCAGAAAAATGTTAGATGTTGTGATAATATTAAAAAAATAATAATAGAAACAAAAAAGCAATAATAAAAAATATAAAATATCTCTCTCTCTCTCTCTCTTTTTATTGAATTTTTAGTAATATTATAAATGTATCTTTTTTAATTAATACTTTTATCATAATATTCAATGTCTTTAAATTTTTTCTTTTTTAAATTAATTTTTATAACATCATTTAATAATTTGTTTTGTTTTATTATATCTTTTAATTTTTTGATTTTTATTATATTGTCTTTTTATCTTTTTTAATACTTATAAATTGTTTTATCAAGTTTATATTAAGATGAAAATCAAATTTACAAATTAAATTTTTTATTAAATCACTTTTTCATCTTCTTGTTATTATACATTGTAACTTTATTTTATTAAAAAAAATATTGCTAATTGTTGTCCACAATTTAACTTAATTAAAATTAAGTTTTTTTTAATAAATAGATATATTTGAGTATTCATTTTTATATTTTATTTATATTATAAATTTTGTAATAACTTCATAAAATTATACGATTAGAATTTACAAGATATGAGCACATAACATAAAAAGATTATTACTTTCACACATTATATAAATATTCTGATTAAATAATGTAATCAGTAAATTGTAATCAATAATATATTATTGTAAACATATTTCTTTTTCTATATGATGAATACAAAGAAAAACATTAATTAATATTTATTTTTTTATATAATTCAGTTTATTTATATAATATGTATGTATAATTATTATAATGATTTTAATTCTAATTAAATTAATATTCCCAATTAATTAATTGCTATTAATTGCTATAAATTTTAAATTTATATAAATATTTATATGTTAATAAAAATTATACATAAAATACATTAATTATACATAAAATAATTTACTTAAATCTAATAAGTGATTCTATTCAAATATAGAAAACATTTCTATATTCGATTTTATTGATATTGATATTTCTGTTATAGGATATAAATGGGTTAGGTATACGGGTGCTCGTTACTTTTTTACTACTCGTTACCTGCAATGATCTCAGTTGGGAAGGACTTGGATGGTATGATACTTGTTGTTGGACGTGCTTACCATAATGGCGATATGCTTCCTGCTAAGGTGAAACCAGAACATGGTGTCGCTTATGTCGCTCATGGCGGAAAAGAACATATGAAGCATGAATTTGAGGTAAAATTATATATTATTATTAAAACTGTATTACAATAGAATATTGTTGAATATTCGAATTTGAAAAATAAATTGATTGGATAAAAATAAATAGTTTTTCAGATAATAACCTAAAAAGAATTATTAATATTAAATATTATATTAAATTTTTATTTATATTTAATATTTTTATTTATTACTTTATTTTATAATAATAGTTTAGTTGTTTAAGAAGAAAACAGATAAATAGAATATAAAAAATTATATGTTAAAAATTAAATATGAAATATTTAGGGACATTTTTGCAATCTATTATATAAATATATATTTATATATGTGACTCACCTCATGTTCGGATAATCGATGATTCAAATACACAAAATTCAGATATCAACATTTTAGTCTATTTTAAGTAACTTAGTTATATGAAAAATATTTAAAATACATTGAATGCCAAGAGATTTATATATTTTGCTTATGATATCAGTACATCTTTATTGTGTATTACATTAAAAAAATTTAATTATTATTATTATTTATATATTATTATTATAATTAT